CCCTCCTGGGAAAATATTAATCAAGTTATTGCCTGCAGTAAACAAAACATATCATGTCAGAATTCTGTGTTTCATCATGTTGGAAATGCTATGCACGATTCATTAAACTTTTATGAAGACAAAACAAAACCAAAAAAACAACAACCAAAAAACCCACAACCCAACCCAAAAAACAACCCCACCAGCCTCTGAAGGTTGGTTGGTTGTTTTGGGTTTGGTTTTTTTTTTTTTTTTGTTTTTTTTTAAAATGAAGCAACTGTCTGACCTTAAGTCAGTGGAAAACAACCCCACCAGCCTCTGAAGGTTGGTTGGTTGTTTTGGGTTTGGTTTTTTTTTTTTTTTTTGTTTTTTATAAAATGAAGCAACTGTCTGACCTTAAGTCAGTGGGAAGCTCCCTGGTGACCAGGAAGTCCAGCAGCCAGTGGAACTGGGACAAGTAGAATGAGAAACTGGAACCGAGGAAATCTCCCATGAGCATCCAAATATCCCTGGAGAACCAAGTTTTGGGGCTCTTGATCTCCAGCATTCTGACTTGAAGCCAAGAGGTGCTGGAGCCCTGAAGCTGTGATAGTCTGTGTACTTATAGTCTTGAGGTTTCCATCCTACCCCTGCTGTGACTTCAGCATCAATATGTTAAAAATGGGTGGTCTCGTGTCTTTGAGTATGTTACTAAGTTTGCCTTTCAAACTATTTCAAGTTTTCCCCATTTAAATTCCAAAATTCCTATGGACTGTATAAGTCTTCTTGCAAGGCCAGGTGAAGTAGACTGGTGAAGGAGCAGCTATCCTGTGACTCTGTCCCACCTTTCCACAGATGACTGAATAGTGGAAATGCAATACACATTTCAGTACAGAGATGCTGGTGGGCATTAAAGGTTCTCCTTTAGTGGTTCTCTCTCCAGCTGAACACTCTTCTACATTCCCAAAATATTACTTTTTCTCTGTATTAATTTCATTTCACGTCACTAAGAAAAGTGCTGCCCAGTCCAGGTTAGAAATACTTTTCTGTTCAACTTTTCCGGGGCTTTGAGTGATTTCATTATCGAGCTGATGGCTACCCAGCATCAAATCCAGCTTTCACACTTTGATGAATGTTCCCAAAAACAAGGGACATAATGTGGTTTTAAAACCCACAAAATACTGGGTTTATGTTTCCTACCCATTCCTCCTCCTTGTTCCCTTTCTTTCTCTCTGTCTCTTATTTCCTTGGGTTGTAGCCATTTTGAATGGAGGCCATCTTCCCTTTGGCCTGAGAACTGGACTGGAAATATCTGAACCTCAAATCCAGCTCTAGTACATTTTAAATATTTTATCATTGAAATTCAATCTGTGTAAGTAAAAAAAAAATGCCCACATGAAAGTGAAATTAACTGAATGTATCCCCCTCTCAGTAAAGAAAATAAAATAGGAAATAGATAAAGGAGAGAAATGTAAGGATTATTAACTGGAGGTACTTTACATCTCCCTCAGGCCAGCCTGGCAAATGTCTTTTTAATCTGTGTTTCATGAGAACGCTTGCAACTTCAAGTATTTTTAAGAGCCAGGAGGCTGAGCTCCATTGTGCAGGGTCATGCTGGCATGAATTGCTGGAACTGAGCCACCCATCCAAGGCATAGAAGAGGAGTTACTGCATTTCTGTTGGGAAACTGGCACAGGTGATGGAGGAGGGCGTTTTCCCCGCTTTGTTCTGACCGACCCTTTTTTCTTGCCCTTTACATTTGCTCCCTGGGCGTTCGGTCACGTCGGCTTCCTCAGCCTGGCTTCAGCCCCAGTCTTGATGACTGCATTCAAAGTTTGTAGTTCTTCCCCTTTCCTGCCAACCTTTGCAACTCCTTTCTCCTTCAATAGCTGCTTGCCGTCACTGAGCTAACTCTAGGGTCTGAGACAGATCTGCTTCTGTCGTTGGCTCAGAATGACCTATTCATGGACCAAATTACCCTTCTGAAATTTATTCTTTCTGTTGTTCCTCCTGCTTCCCTCCAAGGCAGCAAGTTTCCTGATGTGCCATCTGTTAGGATCCTGAGTCAGAATAGGAAAATGGCCTGCATGATCCAGGATCTTCTTTCTTAGCTAGAGCCAGGGGTTTCCTGTGCAGTCACAGTGGTCTTCTGATCTTCTCCTATGGAAAGGGGATGGGAGAGGTAAGACGATTTGGAGGGTTCCAGAAGAAGGGTTCATGTCTTTTGTATTTTGGAGGGATTTCTTGGTTCTTTATAGGGTGGGATTTGATTAATTATATAGGTAGAGGGGAGCATGTAGGCCTCTTCAGTTCTTCCCACTCCTTTCTTCCTCTCAGTGAAGGAGCGCACTTGCTGAAGACTAACTTCAGGAAAGGGTGTTGAAGAGTTTGACTGCTGCTTTGCCTTCTGGAAAAAATGTCGCGTTGCCTGCTGAAGACAAGTGGAAGCATGGGTATATGCTGACCTGGGGGTTAGAACCCAGCATTTTGCCTCATAATGAAGACAAACACTAGCTGTTTCAAAAGGAAGGGTAATCCGTCCCCGTGTGTTATTTTCCAGTCAGGTGTGTTTGGGTCTGCCTCTGGTGATCATATTATGCCTGGAACCCTGAGCAGTTTCCTTGTTACTATGTTACCTGAGCTAATGTGATGACTTCTGATGTTCTTCTGGCTTAATCTACCCTCCTGAGTCACAACAAAGTAGGGTGTGGATGTACTTTGTTCCCACTGGAACTTCCATCCTTTCAAACTACCTTTCTAGGCTTCTGTCCTGAAAAGAATGTCATGCTATCAGGATGCAAAATTACATGACTGGAAGTTGCATATTCTTATTGCCCCATTGAAGGCAGAGTGCTCTTTATGTCCCTGATACTGCCAGTGTCCAGGGCAGTGTCTAGAAGCTGCTAAGCGTCAGCATCTTGCCCTCTGGGAGATTTTAGTCAATAGGAGCATTCTTTTGATGAAATGGTTGTCTTGAACTATATTGGTTGAGATCATCATTCGGTTCTGTGCACAGTTTCTGGGAAAAGCTTTTGCTGCTTGTCTGATCTGCCACCAGACTCCAGAAAAAGCAGTATGGATTAGAAAACCAAGTTAGTTGCTCTTTATTAAGAAGAGAAAAAGAAAAAAAAAAAAAAAAAAAAAAAAAGAAAAAAAAGGGGAAAAAAAAATTCCTTTAGCTAAGATCATTAAACAGTTCAATAAAACAATCATAATTTTTCTAAGAATTTAGCTGAGCCCAGCCAGCTCATTTCAGATGTGTATTCTGGCCTCTTTGGTGGTTCTTCCAAACCTGGCATTTCTGATTCCCTGTCTGCCCCTCCTTTCCCTCCCACATGCTTGACCTCCAACAGCATTCCTTCGCTTGTCTTAAGACCTTACATGTCGTTTCACTCTCCCTCTCCCCCCAAGAATGTGATCCTGGCCTCAGCTTTCTAATTGTGTGTAGCAAGGATAAAACTCCTTGCCTCGCTTGGCTGCCCCCTTGTTTGGAAACTCACCCTAAACATTTCCACATGGTTTGCACTCTTTTTGCACAGCTAAAATTTTTGGGGGCTTTTTTCTTTTTTTTTTTTTTTTCCTTTAAACTTTTTCTTGTTTAAAAAAACCCTCCAGCTTCTTCTACCTTGGGCTGCTGGCACTGACCTCGCCTTGTTACTGTTTGCATTTCTTTTGTACCTTTTTGCAGCTGAAATCTCTGTGGGCTTTTAAATCTGTCAGCAGCCGCTACCAGGCTCAGTGTGCAATTTAGCTCACTGTTTTCACAAGTTTCCCAGCCCTGAACGCTTTCCAAATGAGCCATTGTTGGGCTGAGTTAAAGAGGTATTGTCTCTGCTTGGGCTAGGTTAGTGTGGGTGCCAGAATCTGCATGTGCAGCGTTCTTAGTGCTGCAATGTCATTTTGATGTTGGACCCCTGGATACTTCCTTCTCCAAACACTTTCAGATAGATAGGAAAAAGAAAACCCTGCCAAAACTGATTCATTGAAACATTATTGGAAACTTGTCTTCATATTGCTGAAACTCTCATTTAGACATCTTCATCTGTCCCTGCACATGCAGGCTGCTTGCTATGAAGACCATTCTTATTTGTTTAATTCCCATTAGCACCTGAAACTGGCAGCTGTGATTGGAACCCTGTTCTGGACAGTGCTGAATAAACACAGAGCAAGTAGCAGTCTCTGCTTTGGTGCTTTTAGAGACACGTTGTATAGGAAGAGAGTCTATTGTTATCCACCTTTTACAGAAGAGAAACTGAAGCTGGGGAATTCGGTGGTGTATCCAGAGAGAGCTTGTGACAGAGTTGGGAGTCAGTTCCAGATCACAGCATTATCCTTCATTTTACAAATGTAATTTTGGCTAGGCTCTAAAAGGGTGTGTTCCACTGAACTCACTTTTCTTAACAGAGACTGAATTTGCTGGTCTGTTCAACCTGATGTGATGCTGTGCAGAGATACGTCCTTTATGTCTGAAATGCTGGTTGTCTTTTGCTGGGGACTGTGTGGTTCAGAGGACAAACATCTGGACAAACATTTCAACCTGTAGGTTGCTGTTGGCATTACTGCCACTAGACAACTGTCTCGTGACTTTTGTTTAAAAGATACAGAGATTTCACTGTATTCCTATGGAAGACCAAGCTGGTACTGGAGACCAGGAAAAAGGTGTGTGGAATCTTTAGCCTTTTTCTAAGAGTCATGAGGAGTGTCTGTGTCATATAAGCCAGTGTTTTGAGTTTTTCACTTCATGCCTTTCATGTGATCTTTCCCATCCTTGACTAATCATTAGTAATGGAAGTTTGACATGAGAGTTGTTCAGGCTGCCTCTCTTCGTAGGTTCTGCTCTGACAGGGAGAACTCGCCGTAGCAAGGTAAAAATTATGAAACCAATAATCTTTGGAGTCTTTGGGAGCCACTAAGTCCTCTGCCTTTTGATTGAAGGCTAGTCAACATACCTGATCTAGATTCCTTTCAACCTATTAGAAGCTACCAGTGCAGCTGTTGACTGTTTTTTTTTTTTTTCTGTTTTTCTTTTTCACAATCTCCAGGATGAATTGGATCTCACAGACAAGAACAGAGAGGCTATGTTTGCACTCCCTCCAGAGAAGAAATGGCAGATTTACTGCAGCAAAAAGAAGGTATTACTGTCGTCCTGACTGAAGTAACTCACCAATAAATTCTGTCTGCATGTACATAATTACTGATATACAGCTAGATTTGAACTATGTGTTTATCTACTGTTTACTCAGGAACACGAGGAAGTGTTGTAAGGTTTTTTTATCAGCATGAATATGGCACAACTTTCTTATAAGTAGTGTCTGCATGTGTGATTTCTGAAGAGAATGTTAACAAGTTAAAATCATACGTTGTGCCATTTTGGATCTTTTACATGTTTGGTTTTGGGTTTGGTTTTTTTTTTTCTTTGAGCTGGAAGAAAAGCTGTGATGGAAATGTTTTAAGGAATTTTTAAAAACTTTTGTAGGTTGCTTAGAATAGAAAATGTATTACTGAAATCTTTCAGGATGTCCTCAAATATCTGTAAAGTATCTAGTAATAGTGATGTCTTAAAACTTGGTAGTTCGAGGTCTTCCAGAGCTTGTAGGAAATGTTCCATATTGCACCGGAAAATGAAGAAGATCTGCTGCTATCAATTTCTATGTAACGCTTCTCCATTCAAAGTCTTCAAATTTCTGACAAACCGGTGAGAGGGGCAGTAAATCAGAGGCTGGTGTATCACACTGGGTATTTTGTCACTGGCAGAATGATGGCCAAGTGAATTGACAAGTTGTATCGCTGTTGTGAAACTTGTAAAAGAGGAATTCCTGCAGGAGTGGTGTGGTGGAAAAGTTTTGCTGCTCTAGGAAGGAAACAGACAATCAGAAACAAAGATAGCCCCAATAGCATGTATTCATTAACAATAAATGTTAAGAAAAAAAGGTGTGGTGAGTTGTTGGTTAGTTTTATTTCCCAAATGTGCAAGTCATGCTATGAGAGCATCAGTCTTTATATGTAAGTCCACATAACAGAAGCTGAAAGAGGAGATTTAGATTTCAATACCGAAGACGGCAGATTGAAACCCTGATGGTGGTCCTTCTGAGGTTGTTTGCTGCCTGCCTTTCCTCGGGGGAGGGGGGGGGGGGGGGGGGAATTATCTTTCTTACCTTGTAATTAAAGAAAATCTCAGCCAAACCAATCAGATGGGTGCTTTGCATGTGTGTTCCTTTTGGTTGAAATGCATCACACAGGGAAGTTAATAGCAACAAATTAGTTACAGTGCCTCTGAGCTAGCAATAGTTCAGGAAGTGCGTAAGAGCTGTCTAGGCTCGGTTGTCTTTGGTGCTCTCTCCATTCTTCTCCCTGCTGGTACACAGAGCTTGCAAGTGGAGGGAAGGTGCAGGCTGCTGTGGTTAATATCTGCTTTACATTTTTGCTGGCCGACTCAGCTGGCTTTTTCAGCTCTGGTGGGAGAGGATCTATTTGTAGCCATCTTAGAGAACCACACATTCCACCTCCTGGACCAGTCAGCCTTGGCAGGAAGATTCAGGCTTTAATGTATTTAATATGTTGGTTGGATTCACTATGTTACACGTGGGGGTTTTTTTGGTTGGTTTGGTTTTTTGTTTTCTTTTTTTTTTTTTTTTTTTTAAAGCAGTGGATTTGATATAGGAATCTTGAAGACCTCCAGAGTTAAAGGAGCTGCATACTGGAAAATCTTTATAATGCATTTATAGTGCAACCTCAGTTAGATGAACTCCAGCTATCCAAAATGATGTGCTAACTGGAACAGGATACTGTTGCCAGATGTCTATTCATTACATTGTAGATACTTTCAATTACTTGAAACCTTAACTGTCCAATGTTATTCATTGTTTCCCTCACAGGCAGTCAGATGATGGGTGATGACATATCTCTCTCTCTCTAGCCTACTACCTAATCCACCTATCATCATTGTTTTACAGTGACAGAGAAGCTTGTTGCAGGCTTCCCTTTAGAGGAAAGCCGTCTTTTCCCTGAAGAATTTGTAATCCAATTTTAGCCACAAAGGGCCCAATTCCTCACTTGTCAGAACGCTGTCGGCCATCCAGGACAAGCCCCCAGAGAGCTCTGTCTTGCTGATGTTGGGTTCTTTGAGTTTCCTGGGAAGCGAGGGCTCTATGCTTTGTAACATGGCAAGTGAAAACACTATGAACTAGAAGGTCAAGAAGTGCAGGTTGAGTCGACTGTTCACAGTCATTAGTCTCAGATGGCTTTTCTAGTCTAGAAGGTCAGAGCTTCCTGATTTGCTCCAAAGGTGGTGAGATTAGTGGACTGTCTTAAGTAAACCAATGTCACCTGCAAAAATGAAGATCGGTCATTGTCCATTTATCTTGGCAGTTAGACTTCGGATATAATCTTCTATGGTACTTGTTCCCAATGTGGTAGCAGAAAGTCACTATTGCATCAAAAAACTCATTCCATCCGTTTCTGATACCAAGCCCTGGTGAAGAAATGGGGGAAGACATGTAAGTCTGTGCATTTAAAGTTATACACCGGGGCACAGTTTGCCAATCAACATTCCACAGTACTCAAAGGAGATTCAGTTCTGGATTGAAATTTCATTATTGTGGCTGATATCTACAGAGGAGCGTTCACCTAGTATTATACAGCCATGCTTGCTGTGGTCACTTTTGGCCATTCTGGGTTCATATCTGAAACCATTAGTACTAAAAACTGTCTCGAATGGGTGATTTAGATCGCTTAAAGAACCACTGTCAAAGGTATTAGCAAAAGTGGTTTTAATATGATGTTGTAGAAGTGCGACTTAACAAAGTTTGATGGTGAGGTTCACTCTATTACCATGCGGCACAATCATTTGAAAAATGATTCAAAGTTACCATGGCACAAATCAAAGTTACCATACTACAAGGTTATGCGCTATATTGGTTGCTTACCAAAGATCTGCCGTTGGTGGAAGGTCTCTCTGCCAGATGGCAGCGTGTGGTCCTTCGGTTCAAGTATTGACCCCAACCCCAGTAAAAATTGGGAGGCTACACTACGCATACTCCACGCAGCCGCTGTACTCCCCAACTCAAAAATCACCATTGTCCTGCAGTATCCAATTTTTGCTCCGGCACAAACTGGAATTTCTGAAGTAATAGCAGATTTGGAAAAACAGCACATTATTTCCAGAACGCACTCCCCATAAAAACAAATCACCAAAGATTCGATCTAAAGGAGTAGCTTCAGCTAGTGGCTATACTGAATGCTTCACTCTCATTTGTGGAGTAGCTATGTGCAAGGAATAAAGGCTGCTCTGTTGGAAAATGTTAATGTGTTCTCAGTCTCACCTGTCCTCTACCTTGCCATTAATCAGTACAGAGTGTACAATGAGAGATGCAGTTGTCTTAATTTGCATCAGAAGAATTATTAATCAGTCACCACTAATGGCACCCTGACCCTTTACCCAAAACAACAGTACTACATGTTTTAGATTGCCTCTTTCTCTGTAGTATGAGCTTCCCCTGATACCATACTGAGTTATAAGCAAAGCCATATGTAGACAGTATGCAAATGATGACATCCTCCCCCAGTTTAGGTATTTTATTCTGGTTTTGTTGAGGATAATCTTCATGTCTCACCATCAGCTGAAATTTAGACTTACATAAAACATATAAACCACTTCTGTAATTCCTTCCTGTAAAATTATCTCTAGATTTCCTACTAGTTATATGTTTTGCAGGAATTAGATCAAGCACTAGACCATGCTTTCAAATGTATTTATTTGTAAATGGTAAAATTTCTGATGTCAAGGTTTAGAAAACTGCTGTTTTTCAGTGCTGTTTTACCAGGAGCTGGTACTAAAGTACATAATCTCATTAAATACTGATCAAATAATGATATGGAAAGAAGACGTTGTCAGCTCCATTATTTCATCTGTAAATGAGCTCATACTGGGATCCTAAAAAGGGTAGAAAATGCAGGCATTGCACTGCTTCGGCACACATTGCTTTGGATGCAGTCTGCATTTCTAAGAATGAGGCCTCATTCTGCCGGCATTAGCTTATTGCCTTCTGTACAATCCTACAAGCTCTGAGACTTATTACTGTTGGAAAGCAAGTCAAGTTGTTTTCTTTTTATGGCCTTTCCTGCCTCCAGAGACTAATTCGTAAGCCTTCAGTTGAGCAGATTTTAGTAGGAAGCACACACATTTTGCAGAGTTAAACAAGTTGGTTTTTTTTAATTCTGTGTTTCTTTGGGGGAAAAATTGGTAGCAAATCTCTTTCCAAAGTACATTCAAACTGGACTAGCTCTATCACACAGCTTCTCTCCAAACAAACAAACAAAGCCAACAAAAGCTCAATCCTAATAACTATGTTGAGCTCTCCTAGATATTTTGGGGTTATTTTGTACTCTTGTGATTTTAGTTGTACCCTAGAATAGCTGCTTTGAGCTGATTGTGCTTTGCCTGCACAAGTGAGATTATTCAAACTCAAGTAGTGAAGCAATAATCAGCACACTGCAACTTTCCAGAAACAGGCATTTATGGCATCTAAAAAAAGAGTACATGCTTATAATCCTTAAATTGTTTATACCTTTTCTATTATGGGAAACAGATCTAGAGAAAGGCTTTTCCACAGTAGCAAAATAGGCTTTAAAAATTCTGAGGAAAATTTATCTGAACCATATGCTGTAACAGCCAGTATGCAGAAAAAGAGAATTTCCTTATGATTCCATCGCCTGCAATTATTTTTTTAATATGTGTCAATTATATTTTTCATCTACCTGATGAATAAAAAAACTAGGAAACTGAATATAAGAATAGGAGTCAGGAAACTCCTTGGTTCTAAAAGTCTGTGATCTAAATTGTTGTGTAATTTCAAATAACTTGTCATTATTATGTTGATATATAAATACATTTCTCTCTACCTAAAAGAAAGAGTAGCAAAGTTAGGAAACTTTGTGGCAATGTTCTGGCCATGCCATCCTCTCATGACTTTTCCCTGCACTATATACACAACTTGGCTGCATACAACATTCCTTTTTCCTTTCTCCTTTCTCCTTTTTTTCCTTTTTTAAGATACAGTCTTAAAAATCTGAATATATTTTCAGTTTAAGCACTGTTCATTCTTTTTCCTTGCTGCACCTATCTGTCTTCTAA